ACGAGACAAAAGCGTCGAGGTGCCTTACGATGCACTTTCCACGGAATCGATCTAATCGACTCACCACGACGACGACTCGCCACCACCCGGTGGAGAAGCGGTGGCGATGCCTGGTGGTGGAGAACCTCGCCGAGAGAGAGTATTGACCTACGACAGGGGTTCCCAAGTCTGGGAGCCGAAGTTGGGTCACGAAGAGGAAAGAAGAGGGATGCTCTCCTCTGGGTCGAGAGCGCAAGGGGGAGGATAATGACGATCGAAATTGGAACGAATCATCGGGAAACGAATATGCAAGAATCCTATTTTGAGAAAAGTACATCTTCGAAGCTCCTGTCTCTCGTTTCACGGAGTACGGTCTCGATCCTAATGGATCTGTGCACGATTACCTTGGAACGTACAAGAGATTGTTATCTTGATGTGCGCACTTCTGCAATCTTCTTGTTGCACGTGTTTACAGCTTTCGAACATTGATTTTTACACGACTGCTTTTATTTTAATATGTATCTTGCGGAGATACCGCGCGAGGGAAAATGTAGCTGCCCCAGAAATCGAGATAGTACAAACAGCGGATTGTATCTATCTCTCGGAAAGTTAATTTCAAACTTTCAACTTACTTACGAGAGTTAAAATCCCCCGAATGCCTCGTTCAAATCTTTTCGAGCTTTTTTCAACTCGATTGTACACACAATCTAATTGTGTCTTATCGAACAGAGATATTCACTAGTCTCTAACGTAAATAACATTAAATTCTCGTACGTGCGATACGCTCGCAGGAGAAACACCGAGATACTCCACCTCCTCGAGATTTCGTTGCACATTTTTCACCGGGAAAACATTTTCGAGTGTATTCGCGAAACCGAGTCGAAGTTTCCCTTTTTTTTTCCCTTCTGTACACGTGTGTTTTTATTGCACATGGTGTCCCGAAAGGCCGGTCTCTTCTCCGAAAGACTCGTCGCGAGCTTTATATTCCTGGCATGATGCTGCGATGCGCTGGACCGGTTTCTGTTGCTGCTGCTGCTGCCGCCTCTGATGGTCCCCCGTTTCCAACGTGCGCTCTGTGAACAGAACGGGCGAGGTAGCGCCAGCGGCACAGAATGCGCTCTTCCCCGCGGGGGATGACTCCCGGTGCACTATGTCATCGTTTCTCCCGACGAAACAATAATTACGAGCGACGTGTGTGCAGAGAGTGGCTCTCGGAGAGCCTGCGAGCCACGAAGATTGATCTCACACGCGCTGATTAGAATGCGATCGACGATGCGATAGCGCTGCTGTGAGATGTTCTTTATGCTAGACGCGGATGTGAATTATTTCTTCTTGTTTTTCGAAGCTAAGAGCTGCGCGAAAAAATAAGGCTTTTTTTAAACGATATTTTATTTAAAAATATTCTCTGTAAAATATGTGAATCCCATTGATTTGATTTGAAATTAAATTAATTTTGCAATGATTTTATTTCGTTATTTTTTATGTTAATAGTGCGGAAAAAATATACATGTTTTTCTGCTTGTCATTTTCGATTCGCTCGGCTCAAACACGTCGTTCGGCAAAATATGTGAATCCCATTGATTTGATTTGAAATTAAATTAATTTTGCAATGATTTTATTTTGTTATTTTTTATGTTAATAGTGCGGAAAAAATATGTTTTTCTGCTTGTCACATTCGATTCGCTCAGCCCAAACACATTGTTCGGCTTCACGATATCTCGCGAGATATCATCCGGCAGCTCGCTTCTACAACAAAACTGCGCACTTTAAACTACATGCTGCACTCCATTTGTCGCTTCCCGCCGTTCCTCTCGCGGCATCCGTGAAATGCTCTTAAAGCGCAATCGTTCGTACGTTGACTCCGTCGAGGGAGGCGTCCGATAAGCGAAAGAAAGAATTTTCACGCCTCGCGAGAAGATCTCTTTTTCTCACTCTCACATGTGATTTCTCTCGTGTTTTTCACGATTGTCTCCCGAATTCGGATGATGAGTCCAGTTTCCCAAAATTTCTCAAGTATGCCAAATTTTATCCGCACAGAAATGCTTCATAAATAACATATCTTGTAAAAGATTAAGAATTTATTTTTTCTTCGTTATTCTCGTGTGATAGTGATTATAAAATATTATCAATATTTCCTAAAATTTCTCAAGTATGCCAAATTTTATCCGCACAGAAATGCTTCATAAATAACATCTCTTGTAAAAGATTAAGAATTAATTTTTTCTTCGTTATTCTCGTGTGATAGTGATTATAAAATATTATCAATATTTCCTAAAATTTCTCAAGTATGCAAAATTTTATTCGCACAGAAATGCAATAAATAACATCTCTGTAAAAGATTACATTTATTTTTTTCTCGTTATTCTTGTGTGATAGTGATTATAAAGTATTATCTCTGGACGAGAAAAAACGCTTCGTGTCGAATAGAAAACATTTTCGAAAAATTGCACGCTCATGTGAAAGAGAGGAATGATTCAAGCTTTCCCCGATTATTCGGAGCGTGATATCAAACGGAAATGAAATAAAAATCTCGCAGAGGATTTTGTAAAAAATAGGCGCTACAATTTTCATAGCACGCGGAATATATCTCATTTCTATTTCTATGCATTTTTATTAAGATTGTAGAGCTCGATGAAAATGCAAATAAATGGCGATTGCGAAATCGGAAAGCAATGTGACTGGTGATTCAAGTTCATTAACAGGAACGTATCGACGCGGTAGAGGACGATGGTCTCTTGTCCGCCTTCCTTGACCTTACACACGTTATGTTCACCGCGTGTGCATTCAGATTATCCGATTCATTCGTATTCCACGATCGGCGTTCAAGTGTAACGGAACACGCGGCGTATCGCGGTTTCCTGTACCGTTCCCTTATACGTCTTGACACTCAAACGATCACCACTTAGGCTCTATATGACCAATTGTACGAAGGAAGAAAAGAGCTGGAGTAACATTAGCGGCATAGATTAAAGCTCTATTCAACAGAGATATCTTGAATTCTCTTTATGTGAAAATTAAAGTTGCCTGAGGCATTTTAAAATAAAAACAAATAAATAAAATAGAAATTTTAATACTATTATTAGTAGAAAATTTTAATTTTTCGTAGCATATAAATATTAATTATATATCAGGACAATTCAATTATATATATATTTATTAAATCAATCAATTATATATCTATTAAAATCTGGAGAAACATGGAAAATCTGGAAATCTCAGGAGTTTATTTTATTTCCCGTAGAAATCAGGGAATTCTCATGGAATTTTATTGAGACTCAATTTTTTTTTAAATTGTCTTTGGCAATTGTTTTAAATTGAAGCAATTTTCTTTCGCCAATAAATCAAGTTATGAATTATATGTTTAAAATTATATATATATATATATATATATACATTATATATATACATATCTTTGTTTAATATTCAATGTCTTAACAAAATATTGAATATGCAGTATATATTCCTTGTAATTTTTAGAGAAAAGAAAATATGCAAGTGAAAGATGTTTATCTTGCGAAAGTTATTCAATTTTTTTCAGTGTATTTGCAAATCTAATACTTGAAACTTAAATGGTTCTATGTTTCTTTCATATAAGTGAAAAGCATTAAAAAAACGCGTACAATGAAGAAACTTATTTTAGAAAGTTCGCATCAAAAATCTTTAAAATAACATTCTGTTTACCTGGGATTTTAAACAAAAATATCTGAAATAGGAGAATTTAAAGAATTTTTTTATCTAATTTGGAAATAGACATTTTAATGTGTAAATTTCAAATTAACTTTTTTAACTATGGCGCATTTTTTACCGCTTCAAATTAATCGATAAGCGAACAATTCCTGCTTTTTTTGTTGTCTGCCAACAAAATGAGACTTACCAATTCCTTTTTTTTAAATCTTAAAGCCATCTTGTATATCCTTGATGAAAAAGATGGATTGCTCGTTGCCGGTCTCCGAATAATGTTCGTTATTTAGAAATTCTGGCTACTTCCGGTTCGGAAGCGTAAGACACTGCGGTAGCGGAAGCCGTTCGACCGTCCGTCGTCGGCTGGCATTGCAATATCGATCGCTATTCCACGGCACGGCGATGAGATTTTATCGCTTCACGGTACTTTTGCGAATTTACGCGTTTCACGTACGAGTAATGTTACGGTCGAAGTAACTTATGGAATTGCCCGATGTATTTATGAAACGCAATTTAACTTTTCCTAAAAATAGAATAGTAGAATGCGAGAAATGTTCGTCTCCTCCGCGTTAGCATTTGAATTGAATTGAGACCGGAAGTCGATGAAACGATCGAAACGTGTCTCGATATATTTCTTCAATTTATGTAAATTTTCTTTATACTCTTATAAAGCTTCTAAGTTCTTAGTTTTATTTATTTATAATTTTTTATTAATTAATTAAATTTTTTGGAAATGTGTATGAAAAAAAATGTAACTAGAGTATAATAATTAGTGCAATTGAGAGAGAAATCTACTCGTTATAGAAAGATTCGTATATATATAAATATTTTTTCACTTTTAAAAAATTTATTATGCATATATTTCCAAAATTACATTTTATAAAAGCTAACATGTTCTCATATCATTCTCATCTAATTTTTGCATTTAAATATTATAATTAGAGCGGCTATAGAGAGATTGCACAGAAAGAGCAATCTTCTATTTCTTCTTTCTATCTATAAAAAAAATCATATATGTATATATCATTTTTCATGCTTTTAAAAAATTTATTATACAATTACATAATGATAAAAATTTATACGAATTAAAATGATTACTCATATAAAATTAAAATTATAATTTAAATATATACATTATAAATACAATAATAATTTAAATTATTATTAAAATTATTATTATAATGTACTTTGTATTATTGTGTCTGTATTATTGAAATTATTATTATAATGTACATATTTAAATTATAATATTAATTTTCATAATAATTTTAATTTATACAAATTACAATTTATTTTATATAAGTCTTTCGAAACTGACATATTCTTTTTTTTCTGCACAGATTCAGATGAAGCGCGAGCAATTCTTCAAGGGCGAGAGCGGGGGAATAATCTCGTCGCCGTCGGTGCCGTCGGTGCCGCCCCCGCAGCCGCCGACGCAGACCCCGGGCTCTCAGGTGAACAACTCTTCGTCGTCAGCGACGAACGCTACGACGGTCGGCGGTTTAACGTCACCGAACACGGCGCCGGTTTACTCGAGCGGTGTCATCACGGCGAAGCCGCGATTGCCGTCCACGGTCTCGACGGCGATCCCGAACGATCCCTCGGAGGACAGCAACAGGCGAGAGTGCGCCCGGACCGCCGTCTCCAGCGCCAAGGACGACAGCAACAAGGAGACCGGTCTGCATCATGCGCGACCCACGCCGCCCACCAAGCCCAAGGAACTCGACGGCTACGTCGGCTTCGCGAATCTGCCCAACCAGGTGTACAGGAAAGCCGTGAAGAAGGGTTTCGAGTTTACCCTCATGGTCGTAGGTCGGTAACGCGCGATTTAACACGAGAAGAAATATATAAGCGAAAGTTTTCAAAGACGCTGTTCTATTTCTCTCAATTTATTTTGTACAACGGGAAGGAAAATTTTGATAAGAGTAGTTTTAAGATAGTTCAAACTATTGTTTATTTTGTATTGGAAGGTGGAAATCATTTTTACGTTTCATAGTTGAAAATGATTTCTATACAAATGTCTAAACAATGCAATTTATATAAATATAAGAAGGCGGGAAATAATGAGGGACAGATGTAATTATCTCTGCGTTCTCGGGTGTTGCATTATTGACGTCGAGAAACGCGATCCTGGACATTGAAACGTTCATTATGCGGCAGCGGAAGAACAACGACCGTCTGTCTCGCTCGAGAGTCGCTCAGCCCGCGCAAAAGGACAAAGGGATCCGTTTCTTCGGCGGCAATGGCAATGGTATTTCCATTTCGTCCAGAGTATCATCTCGCGATGCAATCTCCCATCTGCCAAGCACGTGCTCTCCGAGTTCTCTCTCTCGTTCTTGGTTCTCCCTCGTTTGCCGGATCAAGGCTGTCGTCGAAGTTCAGCGGTTCTCACATTGAAACGAGTCCCTGAGGTCCGCTTTCTCGGAGCACGCCCGCTCTTTCATCGCTCGGCGAATATTTCTACGTCGCATTATTTATGCAAATGAATGGTACCGTCAGTCAGAAAGAGAGGGAGAGAGAGAGAGTAATTCGTGGCAATAACACATCTCGTAGTCGACGTCGACAACTTTGCCGATTGAAAAGAGCCATAAATCATTAATTGCAGCCTCTGCAGTGTCTACTGCTCTTAGATTTATCACCTTGCAAGCTTTCCTTAAGGCAGCGGTATAATTAAGGACTCTTTAACACGGCGAACTTGTCCAATTATATTTCTCGTGATAAATGAGTGAAGAGATTCTCCTGTATATATACGTGATACGATGTATCGGAGCAAGAAATATGTGCGAAAGATTTTAAGAATTCGACCGGTGTTCGAGGAGGAGAGCACGTTAATAAGAGCGTTGACTAAAATTGTCGACGTCCAGCCGATCGTCGTCTCGACCGGGACACGTACGCGCGGGTGTAAAAGAGTGTCATTGGGTCTGGGGAAATTTGAGAGCGCGGTTGCTGCGTGCGGAAAACGGGAGGGAGTGAACTATTATTAGATCCACGTATAAACGGAGCCGTTTCTCCGTAAATAGAGCAATTCAAGTTCTTACCCTTGGTTTAAAGGCGTAGGCGCGGTACTTCGCCTGGTTCAAGGTTTATGCGTCAAGAGGTCACGGTACGCCGTCAACATTTCATCTCGTTTCGGTGACCGTCCCCAAATTTATTTGGCCGCCAACAGAAATGTCGGACAGAAATGCCCGATCGTAAATACTCCGACTGAGATTAATGATCGCTGTCTCGATGGTGGAACATTAATAGCCGAGGAGTTATTTCGCCTTGAAGAGATTATGGTATTTTGGCGAATGAAATTTCCCCTGAAAATAGATATTTGTGAAACAATGCTTTCATGGAATGAAAAGTATATTCGACAAATTGTTTTTTAATCGAAATATTTTTACCATTATAGTGTTTCTGCAGTTGAGATTTTTTTTTAAATATTTCCGTAATTAAAATTGTACATTCCTGTAATTGTTTCATTAGATCTTCTCGTGAGGTATATTTTTCAGTTGTTGTAAAATGCATCAGATACTATAACAGTACAATTTTCAAGTTCAATTTTCTGAAATTTTGTTTATCTATAAGATAGATATTTATTTATTTATTTATAGAAAATAAATAAATAGATTTTAGTGATCTATATAGTTCTATATCAAAATATCGAAGCGTGGAAATGAGATACAAAGATATTGACAGATGAATGGGCAATCCCTAAACAATCCTAAAAAATTCAGTACAAAAACATATAATAATTGGAACAATTTATTCGATTAGACTCGAATGGAGTTGCTGAAATGTTTTTTCAATCTTTACAGGGGAATCAGGGCTCGGTAAATCGACTTTGATCAATTCCATGTTCCTGGCAGATATATACAGCGCTGAATATCCCGGACCCAGCCTCAGGATAAAAAAGACGGTCGCCGTGGAAACTAGCAAAGTGCTGTTGAAGGAAAACGGCGTCAATCTTACTCTCACGGTTGTCGATACCCCCGGTTTCGGTGACGCTGTCGACAACAGTAATTGGTATCTATAGAATAGATTCACCGATAAATTATGGTCAAATTTGTTCAAACTTTTGACTCTGGCTTATTTACTCTGTAACATCTTCATCTTTATTTCCCAGTTGGGTACCAGTAATCGACTACATCGAATCGAAGTACGAGGAATTTCTCAACGCAGAGTCCCGCGTGACGAGACGACAAATCCCGGATAGTCGGGTGCACTGCTGCCTCTATTTCGTCGCGCCCTCCGGCCATGGATTGAAACCTCTCGACGTGGAGTTTATGCAGCGTCTTCACGACAAAGTCAACATTATACCGGTTATTGCTAAGGCGGATACTATGACGCCGGATGAGTGTGCGCACTTCAAAAAACAGGTACAAAGCACATTCGAAGAAGAAAACAAAATATTCTTCATTTTTCCAGGATAAGAGACTAAAGTCAAACATCGTTTAAAAAATGACTTTAAATCGTTAAAATATTTTTTCTAATTTATAAAGAATTATAATGTAAAATATTCGAACAGTTAATTGTCTCTTATTAGATGTATATTTTCTCTTCTAAATTGATTCTATTATTGTCTTGATTCATTTTTCCAGATTTTGAATGAGATTGCGCAACACAAGATAAAGATCTACGAGTTTCCGGAGGTCGAGGAGGAGGAGGACAACAAATTTCACAAGTTATTAAGGGATAGAGTGCCGTTTGCTGTCGTGGGAGCGAATGCCGTCGTCGAACATGACGGCAAGAAAGTACGAGGTAGAAAATATCCGTGGGGAATTGCGGAAGGTATGTACAAGTTTGTGAGGTAAATTTTATTTGCTCGATTTTCGAGTCGCTACAATGGAGTAAACTTGTTTGTTGATAAATTAGCATTTAGATAATAATTGTTCAAGCCTAATTTTTACATTTTGAAATTTGAGATTTAAATATTTTTTTAGCTATGCTTTAATCTTTAAATGTTTGCTTATACATATATAGAGATACTTGTTTGTATATATTTGCTGCATTTATGCTGTTTATATCATTTGTAAAGTAAGTAGCATCCGGTGCTTTAGATAAATAAGAATCCATCATTTATTCCACATCTGTTTACAATCGGCGTTTTTTCTGTACATAGTCGAGAACCTGGAGCACTGCGATTTCATAGCGCTCCGAAACATGGTGGTAAGGACACATGTGCAGGACCTAAAAGACGTGACGAACAACGTGCACTATGAGAACTTTCGGTGTCGCACCTTGGCCGGTTTAGGTGCGGACGGCAAGCCAACAAAGGCCTCCAATAAGTAAGTAAATTCGTGTTGTGTGATTCGCGATTTTTTACGATTTCTCATATGTGAAGGAGGCATAATTAGAGCAGAATTTTGTCGAGGAGTAGATGTACTTTTATTCTATCGAAATAGACAAATCGGGCGTCACAATCTCCTTCTCAAGCAAATCGATTGGAAGCTTTAAATAAGATAGACCGATATAGAAATAAAATAAATGTGAAAGAAAACTGCAAGGTCGGTTCTATCTGTCTTAAGTCAGCTTGTGGCAATCGCCAAAATTAAATGACCCAAACGCATACATGTTCTAATACGACACTTATTTAGCCCCATATTATATATAATACGGTTCAATTTATTAATTCACCTGCCCCCAGTGGTGCAATGTTAATATTATTGCCGGATGCGATAAATATGACGGAACAATTTATCTTTTTTAGTCAGGTATTAACCACGCCATTACGACGCTCGCTTTTTCTATTCGAGCAAGGTTGTTTCGTTGAGTTTGATTTGAGCACGCAGTGTGTCTCGGCGAGCACTCGACTGTGTTATGCGTGATGAAATGATGGTTTATTTCGAGCTTCAGTATCACACCAATAACGATGCTTGCGAGTCGATTGCGTGTACTGTCCGAATCACATGCTTGTATCATACTTGTGTGTGTTTCTGTTTCTTCCATTACTTCCGTTCTGAAGAATTCAGAGAAAGGTTGTGCATGCAAACTATCGAAATGACCCCGAAATGGATCCCCCCTCGCGTTTCAATTGTCTCTTGCCATATCTCGATCTCGAGCGAGATCTGTATCCGTAGTAGACTAGACACAAAAACGCTGCCGAGGGAAGATAAAGCGGGGGGAAGGGTCAATTAAACACGTCAATTTAACCCCTCGACAGCGTGTCGCCCGTGCGAATTTTAATGATGAATTTCTTATTGGTCAGTTTGTGCCCTCCAGGAGTGATGAACAGTTTCATGATGGTGTGGTAAGTCCTTTAATAAGGCTCAAACGGATATACTATGGTTTTGTGTGCACAAGCCTTGTCGAGTTTCGAGACACTCTCGAAATCTCCAAGAGGACTCACTGTACGATTATATTATGAGAGATTGAGAATGTTGTTTGAGAAAACTTTCGAGTAAAATGTCTCTAATCCATCGTTGATCGTAGACTTTTTAAAAAAAGGTTTACGATTGAATTAAAATGTATTAAAGGAAATTTGAATAATAAGATGAGAATATTATAGAGTATATTAATTTAATTATTCTTTCAAATATATTGATTGTTTTAAAAATTACATCATCCACTTCCTCTCAATTACAGAATGTTATTGTATTTATGTTTTACAATTACAAAATTAAATGCATGTTCTTATTTAATTTATAAGATTGATAAACATTAAATGCTTCATCTGACGTAGTGAGTCCTCTGAAGAAATAACCAGCAAATTATTGTAGGTTCTTTAGAGAAAAAACAACTGGTAAATTAGATTTCCACATTGAATGTATAACACAATTTAGATCTGCTTGCCGTCTTTATATTTACTTTTACTTTTGCATTAATATTTAGCAACGTTGTAATAATAGTTCACTTAGAAAGAAATCGTATATATAGAGACAATTTTCATAATATCTGTTATGGCTTTATAGACTTCACTTCAATCTTTTAAATAAGAGCCCTGCTTTGTGTCGTACATAAATAAAAAGTAAAGTAAGAAATAAAATAAGAAATAAAATGCGGAAAAAGTCAGTATAGCGGAAATTAGCTTAAAAAAATAAAAATATTTGCATTAAAAATAAAAACATTCTCACATCATTTATATTTTTGTATTATTTACACTAAACGTAACTAGATGTGATAAAAGCATTACAAATAAAAGCATTCTCGCTACATCAATAGTATGCATGTACGTGACATGTATGTTGCATAAAGTTGGCAATTTCCGGAATGTAATCGTTTCTCACGGATTTAGAGCAATATTCTAATTGCTACGATAACAATCGGATTTAATAACGAGGAAAACCAATTATCGAGTTGTAATTTACGTAACATCGATGCAAATTCGGGCTCTACAATATTTATTCCTTAATTGATTGTACTTTCGTAGGAACTTATCGGCGATGAATTATCTATTCCATTTTATTTTTATTAAGAGAAATTATTTCTCTACTATTTTTTAATTATTTCTCATGATTCAAAATAAGATCAAAGATATTTGTACATTTTTTTCCGGAATAATCGTCGACTTTTCTACGATGATGTCATATCAGTTAAGAATTTATGTAGTATTTTATATTGTTACCTCTTTGCAGCACATTCTGTATAGTAATTGCTCATAACAATCCGGAAAAATTAATTCAATATTATATTGATATATTGATATATTTAATAACCTTTAAACTATTAATTTTATCTATATTTCAATATCTAACATATGATTGAAGTAACTAAATTAGATATTAGATATGTCCGCTTGAGACTTTTGTGGAATAACTTTAAGTGTTTCAATTGAACGTATAATTATCTTCTTTGAATAACTTGTCGAAACTTTAAAGCAAATCAAATTTAGAACTCTTGCTGTGAAGAGCTAATTTTATAAATGTGTAGTAGTGCGCTAATTAACGATTAGATAAGTTTCGAAGTCATCTAAATGTCACACGCGTCCCTCGTATTTGTATTCCCGATGATACGATTTCTTATTGACTCAATAACATGTACACTATAGTTTGGATCTGCTCGAATCTTTGTAGGAATCCGTTGGCACAGCTGGAAGAGGAGAAGCGTGAACATGATAATAAAATGAAGAAGATGGAAACGGAGATGGAGCAAGTCTTTGAGATGAAAGTGCGCGAGAAGAAGCAGAAATTGAAAGACTCCGAAGCGGAAGTAAGTGTAAAGTCATAATGACGTTATGTCATAATCGTAAGTTGAAGATTTTTTGAAATTCAAACTGTTTTGCTGAGTGTATATTATTTTATCGAAAAGAAGAAAAAGATTTAGGATAGATGAAAAATATAGTTCGTGTGCACTGTAATTTCTCACTCATTATTACTAAAATTATTTCGATCGGGATAAATTTTTTTGTAATTTTTATGGCATATTAAAAACGAAACGTAAAGAAAATTTAATAAATCGAGATACTTATGGAAAAATCTGCAAACAGTTACAGAAAAGGCACGAACAAATGCGACGTTCATTGGAGCAGCAAGTGCGAGAGCTGGATGAGAAGAGACGGGCGTTCGAGGCGGAAAAAACCGCCTGGGAGCAACAGACCGGTCAAACTATTGAAGAACTTCGTAGACGCAGTTTAGAGGCGAATTCGAAAGAGTAAGTAGTCTTTATCGATGAACGAGGAAGAGAAAGGAACCGAGAGATATTGCGTTTGATCGTTGTCTTTACATTGTTGCACTCTCACACGTTTATTTTTCCGTTGTGTCTCAAAGAGGATACATCTCGTTGTTTTTCGCACGATTTTTTTTCTCTTTTTTTTCTCAAGGCAGATATATTTTTATTCAGCTTCATATCTTTCTCCTTTATTTCTAGCGAGAGCTAAATTCTAACACGAACGAATATTAACGAAATAGTTGTATATCGCTTTCGAAGCTTAGCGCTGGTGATTTAGTATTTGGTTTTTGGAGTTGTTTGTATATTCAGCGCGGAAAGCACTCGACGCAATTAGAATCAGCTTGATAGCTTCCTTGTACACTGTACGTCACTATCGTATCTTCTTCGGGCTGTATGAGAGCATTTATAAAATATAGATTCGAGTGGACGAAATGTTTACATCATGAAAACACAAGTTGTCTCTCAAGATTATCTGATATTGATAATTTTATAAAATTGGATGAATTAAAATAACGGTGATAAATCGCTTTAAATGTGTCTTTAAGTGGACTTAAAGCAACTTTAATTTCCTTTAGAATTTGTTAATTAAAATGAACCGTAAAATTTGTAGTACAAGAAATTTTTGGAGAAAAAGATTCACATATATGATAACGAAAGAAGAATAGAAGAAACGATAGTAAGTGTGCACTGTACATACGCGGACCTCGCTCTCGCTGTAGTGTTCCTTAGTCGCTAATTCGTGTTTGGATATTTTAATGTTTGCAATTTTCAATAATTGTCGTTCACACCGCAATAATTTTTTATTCACGCTTTGATATCTACGATCCTTCACATCACGATCACTTCATGAAGCTTGCACCAATAACAGAATAATAATCGGTTACCGGCTCAATTTTTTTAAGATTCTTATTGAAGTGAATTTTCGTAATTTTATAATTTTCACGCGGTAATATATTGTCCGCACATGTACATATCATGACTTCCATACGTATAGTCATCTTGCATTTAACGCTAAATCAATTGGCTGTCTAATTTCACTTGGGAAAAAAATTATAAAAATGTGCATTAAATTTATTATTTATATTAAATATATTAAATTTAATATTTATATTAAATATTTTAAATTTAATATAGCGTCTCTCTATTTATTAACTTTGAAAAAAAAATACAAAAATACAAACGAATTATAAGAGACACCCATTAGATTTTCGTGCTGTTTGAATTCGAGATTTAACAGACATATTTAGCGTTAAACGCAACGTGATGATGCACCGCCGACGTTGCGTTGCATCGCTTCTCGCGGCAGATTAAAAAAGAGCGAGATGGCTCATTGTGCAAGGAACGTCGACGGTTTACCAGATTTAATGTACGCTTGTTGATCCAACCGCGCGTTTATTTTATGCTGAAAATCGCGCGCGCGATATTTTTACATTCGAGCTTGCGTCGGGATTTGGAAAGAAAAAAAAAAGAATAAGAGAAAGAAGCCCCGGTTTGTTTGTCTTTCTTGTATACCATATCGGGGTGTCCTGATCTAGGACGGGATCGATGTCCTCCGAGGGATCTGGCGGCGGCGGGGGTACGTTGAGGGGTTCCCGAGGGATAAGCAGCCTCCTTCGTCGTCACACGAGTTTCAAATCACCTCAAGACAGCCCCGCACAGATACAGCTTGTCATACAGCATCCTGAGCACCCCTAATAACGACCGTATCTCCCCCCAAAACCGCTCTCGAATGCGCTTGCGAGACTCGCTTTCGGGATCTGTCGCGCGTGTCTCCTTTCCTCGCGCTCAACCCTTATTTGGTTATTTGCAAAATCACTTTTCTTTTCATTGTAAGTGATAAAATCACTCGACAAGAATCCATCGGATCGACAAGGATAAAAATCGAAATATTTTACTCCACTCTCGAAGGCAATCAAAATGCTAGTTTAGAGAAGATCAAACAAGTCTCAAAAATAATATAAAGCGATATATAAACACATGCGATCCCTCGCGATTGCCCCCGAATAAGGGTTGAGAAATTGAGTTTTATCACACCCGAGAGGAAAGTAAGTACTGCTTATCTAAACGGTATTAATTTGTCAACGTTACTCTGATCAAATTTGACGATATTAAAACGAGCATTTATCTCGTCAAGGATAGATGGAAGTTTGGAAGATAACTCGCTCTTCAATCTGTTATGGCAGTTTTATTCATCATTTTTTCTCTTTTTGTTTTTCCCTTTTAAAGCTGCAAACTTGCGCAGCAAATTGCAAGAGAGCCGTCGAATCAATTATTTTAGCGGATTAATTTTTAGATTAAAAAAAAAAAAGAAAACGAAATTCGAGACTCGATCAGTTCTAAACGTCCATGTTTGCATTGGAGCCGAGAATCAAATGCGTGATAGGCGGCACTTACTCGTCTCTCGGCACGCGTGTGCGTGCGTCGTCCGACACATATCCAAAGCGACTGTATATTTCTAACGAGAGGCGTCCCATAAAGCCACGCATCACCGTAGATATCGACGCAAAAAAACGCGCGATCCGGTAAATCTCTGTTCGTTATTTTATATTCGTTCGTCTCTCGCGTTTCTAATCGCGCTTTCGATAACTTTGTGTTAAGACGGCGAGCATGTGTCAAGATATTGCGTACTCAAAGCAAGAAAAAGGATGGAAAATACGGGAATCGATGAAAAGGGAGATGTGTAATGTCGGACAAAGTTGAGATTGCTTTCTGCGAATATTTTTATCGTTGCGTAATTAATTAATTAATCATTCGTCGAGTTGAGCTCAAGATTGAGGTAGCGCTTTAATTTTTATTTAGAAATTAGTGACAGGAAAATTGCGATTAATCCTCGTTTTCGAAGGAGGATTGAATCGATTGTCCGGACGTTTTATTAAAAGCGAATCGATTAAAGAAGGGAGATTGTCCCGCAAGGCGAGGAGAATATGGATGTCGAAATTAGAAAGCTTGTCCGAGATAAATTTGATCTCAATTTTATCTCACGTTCAAGTCGATTACCCCCGTTTTCCGTGACATGCCGTCTCAACGAGATACGCAAATTCATTTCGCAAATTACGCGTCCTCGCGGCAAAATTATACATCCCAAGCGCGATTCTTGGAGCACGCCAGTTTATCCTTGCATTATCGCGATTATCGTGCATTTTCTTTGGCCGTAACGCGTCCGTTAGGTACAAAACACGTGGAATCTCGCGTTACGGTAAATTACGGTCGACAACATCCGTAGAGAGATAGGACGAACTATACTAAGCGTATATATTTAGCGATATGTACATTTTGCAATGTATTTTTGGCACGGACTTTGATAAACTTTTAGATTACATGTAAAAAAAAACAGGGGCGCAACAAAAAAAAAGAAGAATTATTCTCGGCGTCGTTTTTTGTACACTCGCCCAGGGCATACAATTTACACACATTGACATACATACTTTTACACGCACTTCGATCCTTTACCGCATCGCGTGCAGTAATTTACCCCCGCTCCCTTCCAGTGACACACTGTAATGTCTATGATTGCCTAGTTACATTTCCGACTATATTTACGTATTCGTATTGATCTAAAGTTCTCGTCTGAATGTTTTTAATGCGTTGGTGTTGGCGAAAGCGTGGCTTTATCGTTCTCTGTCGGGCAAATCTGAACGTATTTTTGTGTGCTATTTCTTATTTTATCCCACCGATTATTTCGCAAAATAGCGGAGACAAGTTGATTTGTCTTGTTGCGAAACTATAATTACAGGAGAGTTATAAAGAAAGTTCCTCTTTTTTTTTTTCTTAAATTATACGCATGTTTTCGTTGAGGAAAATTCACGAGACAAGTTTGTTTCTATCGCTCGTCGAATTAAATGCCTGATCAAGTAATAGTCTTGTGCGGTAAAGGGTCGATTTGATATACGAATATGACCACCTTGCATACACAAGTTGGGCGCGATCAGCAAAATCAAGCCAGTTTGTAAGACTCTGAGCAAGCTGTCGATCGATCTTATCCCAGTTCGACTCGCGCATTCGTTTCTTTTTGTTCCACTTTGTTCGCACAATGATAAACTGATCGAATCAAAAGTACACTCGAGTCATGGTTAAATTGCTTACACGATTCGCCGTTTCATTCCGATGAGAGATTCCCTCGAATTTTACGGGGGACGAAGGAAGAGAATAGAGACAGCTTGGTAGAGGATATATAACCGCCTATTACTAATAATTACTCACAAGCAGAGATTATACATTGTTAATTTCATGATTGATAATCCTTTTTTTTCGCAAATAAACGCAATGCTTACCTAAAACAATTACTAACCGTCTTCATTGCGATTTTTATGTAGCTTATCTTCGTATTCGAGGCGCTCGCGACGAGGGGAAAAGTGTGATTGTATCGTGGAAGGAGAGAAAATTAAACATGTCATTAATCCCTCGGAAGATGAACACAGTTTTGCCTCGTCGCCTTTTTTGTTATTTGTTACATATAATGTTTACGCTGTTTCGTCGTCGCATATTGTCATTTTGGAGCTGCTTTTCATTTTAATTCCAATCGTTAGCTTTATTTAACGAGACCTTGGAAATTTTTTTAGAATTCTTTAGAGAATCGAATTAAATGTTTAAACTAATATGAATAATCGCGTGTGTAAACATTATCAAATAGATCTGATAATTATATTATATTTTAGTTTCTTCTTTTTCTATTTTTTTTTTCGCGTTAACAAAGCGTCTTCTTTAAAATAGCCGATATGCTACGTTGTCGATACGCATATGTATCTATAATTTTGCATAAATGTCGTTAAGTTCAAGTTATTTTACACGTGCGAAAAAAAGTGAATACTCTATCCACTGCGGACGTACATAATAGGAAGATTGTGAAAATGAATTTCTTAGCGCATAATATTGGGACACACATGTGATTAGCATGTTGCTCTTTGGTCGCGTGTGCAATGGATGGGTTCGAAGCATGGTTTTCGCATGGATAGATTTTGTACTTGCAAAAAGATTATTTTTTGCATAACAGATACATTATAGATTCTTGTCCAGACTGTGTTCCCCTGAAAAAATAGAGCTTATGTATTTATATACTAATAAAAAAAAGTCGTAGGTTTCTTCTCGATGGCTACAAGAGACATCGAGTAGTCAAGTATGTATTTATTCTATAATTGTACATGCATTTTCCACGTATTTTCATTAGAATTATTATTACTTTAAGTTACTATTAATTTTCATAATCCTGTCGAGTAACTTTGATTTCGCAAACGAAGATGATCGAGAAGACATAAGTTTTCAAATATCGGCTCTGCATTTCATCAGAATCATTCCCATTCTTCCTCGTCTTTTCGTCGTCAAACACCCGGTATAATTTACCTATATGCAATAGTGTGCAATTCGGATATAAGCGTTCGATGATTCTCGGACCTCTCATTTTTAGCGAGCGCAAGCAATAGTTCGGGTGCTTGATATGGAAATTCTCCTTTCAGGGCTGTCGACGGTAAAGATAAGAAGAGCAAGAAGAAGGGCCTCTTCTAATCGATCTATAAAAGAGAAAGAGAGAGAGAGAGAGAAAGAGAGAATGGGCAGGAACGACCCAGCATCGCTTTAACTGATGACGAGTTAGATACAGCCAGTCAGCGATAAACTTGATTCGCGCGCGATACATATAAGGATCGGTGATTACGCGAAAATCTGGCGATTTCATCACATGTTTCACAAATGCTAAAATCGGAAGAAGAGCTGCTGAATTTTGGAAAACTCTATTTGCAACCATGGATCCATGCTTGGCTATTCTAGATATGTCTGAGGATCTGCGGATTTGAAAATCAGAATTCGCAAACATGAAGAATGGTTCCCGGTTCACAAAGATCTCCTTGGAATTTTGTGGCCAAGATTCTGTGGAAGAATGAAATTAAAAGTCTACAGAGTCCTGGACACATGAAACAAGCGTCTTCACTGCCGAGAGATATCGAAACAGAAGTTTACCTAAGAAAAATTGCAATAATTCAAAAAGGACGGCTGAAGCAAATTCTTATATAATACACCGACCTGGAACTCGAAGACTCGCGATGCCTAGTTTCCGTTCATACATAGAGTCGCCGATCCAAGAGTCCTGAATGCAAATTTGACTGATTGCCGATTAGCTGCGCCATTATTAATATTCAGAAGAGATATCATCGTTGAAGGAGATCGTGAAGGGCTGTCTAGATTACGCGAATGCCCTGCATCGGCGAGATGTCTGTTTCATTTTATTGTTCGCAATATATGCTTCGTGCAAATCTACAGACGGACAGAGAGAAAGAGAGAGAGGGAAAGAACGTTCTCCACGATGAAAAGGTGTGTCTGCCTATGCTTTTTTGCGCTTCCTACTAGCATTCAAGAGGAAAATAAAAAGAGAATGTGTGTATGTGTGTAGTATGTGTGTGTGTTTGAAGGGAAAAGAACAAAAAGGACGCATAGTCGTCCTTTCACGCTCATTCGCGACCATCATTTGCTTACAACAACAACTGTGTACAAAAGAAAAAAGAATCCATGTAGACGTAATTTTTTGGAGAACGTAACTTTCGTACTTTCCTCGATGCGAGTGTTAGCTCGTTAGCCATTTAAATCTATGTATCTTTCTGCGTAACACGAGAAATGTCATGTTCGCCGTCCTCCGCTGATCGCGATTACTGTTGTGCGTTAACGTACATATACAATTGGATAGAGTTTATAACTCATCATATCACTATCCTAGCTAGAATGAAAACAATCGACCATCTCGCGTCCTGGAATAGAGATGAGAACATTATGGATTTGTTTCTTCCAATGATGAAATCAATCGCCATGATTTTTACATATTAATTACTAATCTCAATTATTGTGATGATATCTCAATTATTGTGATGATATTAAAATTTATGATTTTGGATGATTCGTCTATTTGCTATCTATCAAAACAATCGTGATAAAATTATAATTTAATTTAACTTGTAATATTAAATCAAATAGTGTTTTAGATTTTATTGTATTTTTATTCTGTTACACTTTTCTTTCTTTTAGAATATTGAAGCAATGATAATTTTCAAGTGTCAGCACAAATTTAAAAGTTTCTACGAATTCAGTAACAAATAACATTCACACACAGTTAACATTTTTGAATTAATTTCAAATAATCTTTAATAAGATTTTAATTTAAAAGAGAAATGTGTGTGTTGAAACTTGCGTGGTTAAAAAATTGTGAAAAATTATGGCGATTATACTTAAATATTGGCTAAGCAAAAATTTATAATGTAAATTGAACAATTTCGCGTAGAGAGATTAGGAAAATTAGCTTTCTAAAAAAATCATTGAAATAAAAGTATCGAATTTTTATAACGTTATACAAAATTATACTTACGTTATTTCTCGGTTCCCGCAATATTTGGCTTGTTCAACTCTCAATTTTAGATAGCGTAGTAGTAAAATAGTAGGGAGGAAGAATGATATTCACGTGACTAGCATAATCATGTTGCAGAGGGAGGCTGAACATGATATCGCACAAAGCAGCGGCCATATATTATATATATAAATATATATATATATATTTATGTATAAATCTCAAGTGAGAGAGAAAACGTAATGTAAGTCTAATTCATGTATATGTACGCGTAAAACGTCGCGATAGACGCGACGGATCGATTATATATAATAAGAACGGATCATTGTATAAATATAGTAAATCTAGGTGTGTTATGAATACTGCGATTCGAGACGGTACGCTTCCTTCTTCTTCCTGTGTTTAGGTCAAAGTCACTCGAGACTCGGTCTTTTACCGCGCTTTTGAAGATCGTTACGGCGTAAAATTAATTCTGGGATCTTCATTAGAAGCCGAGTCACTTGCGGAACAGTGATTTCAGTATAATTGTACTGTATGATGTATTGTTCTGTATGATGCACAAAGCAAAAACTATTATTAAATCGCAGTAAAATTGTAATTTTCTTTTTCGACAAATATTTTCGTACAATTTTTTTCTTAACAAAAGTATTTATTTACTTTACCGAATTTACAATATTAGAAGTTAAACAAATATGAATTAAAGTTATGGATGTTTCTTTGAGGTTTCTCTTACTCCGACAAAGTGGTACTGAAAAATAATAGTAATCAAATTGTTGGCGTTTACACAATTGACGTTTACATTGGAATCGGAGGCGCGCATCGTCTGGAATCCGCCCATATTGATATGTTTAGGGGCTAAGCTACAAATTAAGTTACTTCTGTGCCAAGACGAGCGAGGGAATGAGAGCAATTTTTTAACATTGTAGCGAGCGGTCTCTTCAGTTACCGCGAGGTGTTCTTCACGGGAAGATTCCCCCTAGATGCGTTTGAAGGGTTCAAGGGATCACGTGCTCGCATTTAACCCCTCCAGTGGGTATTTCAAACGCACCCGATTTCGTTTCTAGTGGCCAGATGTTGTTAGATACTGGCGAATTCGCTTAATTGATGTCATAATTTATTCCATTGTTCGATCTCATGGAAAAGAGATTTGTTCCTTTTTAATTATACTCTTCCTAAAGACTTCCGTCTCTTCGAAATGTATTCATCTTACGTTAAATACGGAAGAAGAGGCGACTAAAGAGAACAGATCTCGAAGAAACGATCAGTACGGCCAGTAAAAATTGTCGATTATTATCTCAATTAATTTCTATTCGATGTCGTCATTTTATTTTATCGCACTAGACTTTTCTTCATCTTTCGGGGATGAAAAACGCGCGCGCGTGTGCTACATTCCTATTTTCTACGCATTTTTCTAAATAGACTCGCCGGCTCGAACGTTTACCGAGGATCTGGCCAATTAATCTCTCGTTGGTATACGTGCCGGGTGATTGAAAGTAAGAAAAAGCGAGTGGAGATGCGTTTATAACGCAAATAGGAATACAAAGATCCGAGCGAAAAACACGAAAAAGCAAAGATCCAAGCTGCACAAATCCAGGAATTGAAAATTAAATATGATTTGTTAAAAAAATTTCCTGTATCAAATGTGTTTTTAACAAAAAGATATTGACATTTTCGAATTCTAAATTTCGTATCAGCATAATACTGACGATGCAAAATATAATAGTGATGTTACATATCGATTAATTAATTGCAATAATTGCTGCTCCGGTTCTAAAAAATCTCAATATAATTAATTTCATGAAATATCGATGTTAATTGACGAAATAAAATTAAATTAAATTTCTCATTTAATATCTTATCAAAATTCTTTTTGAATAAATAAATATCAGATAAATTCTTATCAATGATGCGGAATTTCCTGGAGCGTTGTTGGAATTGCTTTGCATGTTTTTGCACGAAT